ACAGACAGTTCTGTCCAATGGGTTCAGGTTCGAGTCTCCCTGAGGGTGCCGGCTGGACGATGAGGCGAGGATGGGTGAAACTGGTACCATTCCAGCACCATTATTGTATCATTTTATGTCTCACGCCTTGACGACAGTTGCTAGTCTTCATGATTCGACACAATGCCTTGCTTGGCCCAGCTACGAGCATCAGAGGGGCTGATTCATTATTGAAGGGCCTTTCGGCACTGCAGCCTAAGACTACTCGAAGCCGTGCAAGTAGTCTGATCACCCACCTTGTTGGAGAAGGCCATCTGGTCGTGGCTCACTATTGTCGGCTGGAAGAGAAAGTTTTTGTCCGGAATGGCAAAGCTCATCCAGATCTGGTAGAGTCCTATGGTGAAGGCCTCGACTTCTAGAAATTCATCTTGTATGTCCGCGATGATGCTGTTTGCAGAGTGCGCCATGCTGATGTAGAGGAAGCGCTCGTTGTCGGCCTGCTCGTCGCGCACATACGCCTTATGGCCGATTCGACTGACCTCGGTGTGGTCGGCCACCAGAGTGCGCAACTCCTTGGGCATGTAGTGGATCTGCTTGATGCTGAAGATGCGGCGCAGAATACTGTCCTCCAGGATGGTCCTCTTGTAGAGCTGTTTCAAATAGGCCGCATCGTTGGTCGTCGCGGCCAACTTGAGGTCGTGCAATTTGAGCTTGGCCGTGAGGATGGTGATGCCGCTGTAAAGGGTCTTCATGTCGATCACCTCGGGCCTCGGCTTGCCGTGAATCGTGAACGCTTTTGTCTGTTTCTTGGCCTTGCGTCGCTTCGACTTCCTCACTTGGCCCATCGAGTTGTCGTTGGCGTCGCTCAGGTCCTGCAGACTCTCCAGCGTCAGGCTGCAATGGGCCGACTCGAACGAGTCAATGCTGATCGGTCCGTTGGCCGGCGGTCGGTCCGACGCGATGCTCGTCGATCTGTGCAGCGACGACTGCGAGTTGGTATGTCTCGGCCGGTCTGGACGCTGCAGTTTGGGCCGGAAGACGCGTCGTGAAGTCGACTGGCCCGCGGAACTGATGAGGTAGACGTCTTGCGACTCGGAGCTCGGCTTTGACTTGAAGCTGGTCACTTTGGCGACTCCGTCGACGTCGCCGCTCTCATCGTCGCACCTTTTTTTGTTACAGTTCTCGTCGATCGCCTTCACTCGCATCCCCATTGGCAACACGTCTCGCTCATCCAACACACCGTCGCTGTCGATGCTACTGCTGCTGCTGCTGCTGATGCTGCTACTGACCGCGACGGCGACGGCGACGGAGACGGCGACGTCGCTCGAATTTGGCTCTTTCTCCTGCTCTTCCCCGTGCAGACGACCTAAAAAGACTTCAGCCATTATTGACACATACAAGATGACTTCCAAAGTTCACATTAAAGAATTATTATTGTGGCTAGCATAATAAACACCATGACCAACAGGAATAAATGTGCAAACAAATAACAACCTACATTGTGGATACGAAGAGAAAGTTGGTTTTGATGAATCTCCTGAGATAACATTGTTAGGGGGACCTTCGTTTCGAATGAAAGTGCATGAAGAAGAGTTTCGTTGGCGATCTTACCAGATGAGGACGGATGAATCTCGTTGTACTGCAGCCGGTTGAATTTTATACGCTGTCCACGATACTTCCTTCCCCGTTTCGGGTGGAAACGTGCTGAACTTTCGTCCATCATATGATGGACGAAAGCTCAGCATGTTTTCACTCGAAACGAAGGAGGAAGTCTCGTGGACTGAGTCAACATGAATATCGTATAAAATCCAACCGGCTGCAGTACAACGAGTTTCATCCGTCCTCATCTCATGAGATAGGCCAACGAATCTCTGCTTCATGCAGAGATGAGATATATTCACCCTATTTCCTTTTCCCATGTCCTAATTTTCTCATCATGTTTTCTCTCAAAAAAGATAGGCGAAATAGTAAAGAAATGGGGCATAAAAACAGTGTTCAAAG